ACGCGCTGGTAATTTCGCTTCGTTTTCTCTCTCTTTGGAAACGGCGATATTTTGCTGCGAATCAGAAGGGAGGGGGCGAGGATGCGCAAGGGAGAATCGAGAGACAGGACACTCGACTCATCCGCCAATGATCACCAACACAAGGGGATGACACCGGCGGTCGACCAACCCCCGCGCCCGCCGCATCTGCCTCCGCGCCCCATTGGAAGAGGAGCCGCGCAAATTGCGCCGCTGGTGCTCATCCCTTGAACGAAAATGGAGTAGTCGGGTATTTTCTTCGGGGGAACATCCATGTATTTATTACAGGTTACGGGGAGGAGACTTGAGTCGGAAAAATCACAAGGAAATGATTAATATGATTTGGTGGAAAAAAAATTAAAAATAATCACACCTATGTTCAATTTTTTAATTAAATACAGGAAACTTCTTGCACGTTTTTCTTGTTGTAAGATACATAAGGGAGAACTTTATTTTTGTGACAATACGTAAATACCACAAATTATGCTAAGAGATATTAAATTTTAATGTAAATGTTATCTGATTACTTGTTGTCCAAGTTTAATTTTCAAATAAAAACTTTTTTCCTACTGGATTTATTTAACAAATGTTATAACAGACCTAAATTTCTAAATTTTTTATTACATACATGAATTCAGCAAAATGAGGGAGTTGGCACAATAAAATTTAAATAATTTCCTGCAGAAAAATTAAATGGCAGAAATATTTGGAATTCTTGTCATCACTAGTTTGCAACGAATTTTATCTGGGAATGAAAATTTGTAATATTTATAACATCATTTTTGTTTGTTTCAAAAATTGTTAAAGTTGTTAAGTTAAAGTTAGATATTTAAGAAAAAATTGATAATTTTTTTATGATATATTTTTCTTTTAACTGGTTTATTTTAAATAAAAAAATTATATAAAACATTTAATATTAAATTTTTAGTTTACATTTATTTCAAAAATCAAAGTTTTATTATCTATTTTTCTTTCTTCAAATTTTAATGTTTGAAGAAGGTATAATATTAAAAAGGAAATTTTTTTATTCTCTTTGTGGTACAAGAAATCAAGAATAACTGCATGACGACCTTTACATTTAATCTCTATCATTTGGTATGAAAATTAATCAATTATGATAGTTCAAAGATAGCTTCATGGAAGTCAATTAATAGGTTTTGAACTTTAATGACCTAGATTGGCACGTGCAATCAGTTTAGTGCCGGCGTCGGACTCTGCAGTCGAAGATGTCTCTGTACTCTGCAGGTGCCAGCGGCGCGTGATTCGCAGGGAGAAAAGCGGATGCGACGGGGAAATCAATACGCGGGTCGAGCGAGCCTCTTGGCAGATTCCACCGCGTCCGTAAATATACACATACATACAGGGAGGGCTGCCGACGACGGCGGCGACGACGAAGAGCGAGCGAGTGAGCGGGCGCCGATCAATACTGAGAACGCGGCGCCCCTCTCCTCTGCTCGTCCCTCTATCTGCACCGAGACCGTTTCGCTCTTCAGCTCATCGCCAGGCCGCCCTTCCTCCGCATCGACTTTTGCCACAAAACGCCCATCCCTTTTTTTCTCTCCCCGGTCGGGGCTCTGTGCAACAGCGGTGCACGCCGAGGACGAACATTATTATACGTTTCTTTATTGTTATTATAAATAAATTTGTGTGAGAGATGAAGGAGTGCAATAATTATCATAAGCGAGCCCGCGCCGCATAATAATGAGCACAAAAGCCAACTAATCAGATTGAACACGTGCGCGCCTTTTCTCGCTCGCAACTCAACAAGTTACGAGTGTTACAGCAGCACGACCTCGCACCACGCTTTATTAAATTAATTTCCACGCCGTTTTGCAATTGATAATTGTTTTGAAATTCCTGTCAATAAAATGAATGTGTCAAGATCAAGTGTTTGTTTATTTCAGGGATAGAGATTGAGGAACAAATGATGATATACTGAATTTGTTTGATCGTTTTTCACTAAAATAATTGTGTTGAAGCGATGGAAAAAGTGCTCACGATTATTTAAATACAACGATCATTTTAATAATTTGTGATACTGTATTTATTTAATTAAAATTTGAGAACTATGGTGAAACATTGAACAAGAAAAAAAAATATTTAATTTTTACTAAAAATGAACTGTTCTTTGCATTAATTTTCACCTACATTTAACAGATTGTGTTAAAAAAAATGCAGTTTTCAATTCATGAGACGTGGTAAATAATTTGCGACAAAAATTCAAATAATGTTTCATGCTAAATCAAGACTAAATTACGATTTCATAGTGAAAAAAAAATCGCAAACTATACAAAAAATTAAAAAATACATAGGTTTTTATTAGTTTAATTATGTATCTGAGATATGAAACTTTCAGTAGACGTTTTAATATGCCATTGAATAAAAATTTGATTTTTGTAGTGAGTATAACTGAATAACAGTGAAGCTAAAATAATTTTAATTTAGCGAAATGTCCAATAGTTTAAACAAAAATACTCCATTCAACTAATATTTTTACAAAGTAAATAGATTCTTTAATTTTATTAAAATTTTCTAAAATATAATTGTATGCTTCATTCAATGTGCATACTCATTTTGTGGCTTTTGATGAGCGATGGAGCTTTTTTGCTAAAGTATATCGCGCTGATTTGTATGATATTTCAATTCAGAGTAAATAATTAATTAAATCAAGGCCTTTGATCAGGGAGTTCAGATATTGTTTCTTTCTTTCTTCCGATAAATGTTGAAAACATTTATACCATAACCATTCCACAAAGGTACAAAAAGTAAAATTGAATATAAAATTAACGTTCGACTTGTTTCAGTTTCTAGACAATTTTTTCCTAAACATATCCGTATTAACTGAGCAGAAATTAATTATGATATTTGCATACATGAGCCAGCTGAATAGCGCCGTGGGTGGTTAATCAAATGATTTAATCAAAATTCGCAACAAGAATGATTGTATAATATCTGCACACAGAGCGCTTGTGGAACAGAGGTTTACTCATTCGAAGTGTGTGTATTTATTTATTCATCTCGCGTACATTTAACTTCTTTGCGACGCGGTTCGCTTCACCAGCGAGCCGCCCACCCACCCATCATCAGTCGGAACCAGTCAATTAGCGAATTAATTACCGAGCGCGCTGGTAGCTCCGCTCGATTTGGCGCGAAAAGCGCTCGCTAATTAATTAATAGCCCAATTATTGCACGTGCGAGATTCTTTTTTCCGGCCAACTCGGTCGGAACTCGCCGCAAAGATTTTTTAGCGGCACTAATGACGTCGCCGCGACATCGACGAGCAAATCTTGAGATTCAACAGGGGCGTGCGAACCTCCTTTCTGGTTTTAAAAATTCAAATAATCAAAAAATTATACACTAATTCCATATCATCGTCAAGGACATAATTTGTGTTTTTAAAACTTTTAATTGTTAAAGATTTCATACATTTGATTTCCTTTATATTTTATTTATGTTACAAATTAAAAAAAAAAAATACTTGAGAAACTTTGAAACCCATCATACCGTCCCTGCATTTTCCAAATTGAATTTTATTAAAATTAGTAGAAAAAATCTTTAAAATTTGTACGATTATCAGAATTTTTTTAAGTTGTCTGTATTCAATTTTCATAACAATTTTTTTCTTAATGCACCTGGATCCGCCCCTGAATTAGTACGGATTGTTTTGCAAGACGTTTCTGTTTCTTTTCCGCAAATTTTCTAATTGATTAATTAGGGCGTAATTATCGAAACCACATCTCGTTTTGTCTTTTCACACCCTCAACCAATTAATCCGCGGTTTGCTACACTCTCAGATTGGGTGCGGGTGAATTCAACTGATTTTTCCGAAAGGAAAAGAGCAAACAGGAAACGGAGTGAAAAGGCGCACGCAAGACCTTCGGAGTCTTTTCGTTTGTGCGCGCGGCGTGACTTTGCATCTGATCTGAATAAAATGCACACGGCAAAGCCACTGGTTGCTCTCTTGAGATTTAATTCCCCGAATAAATTAGTGGTCGGCCGAGCAGCATGCAAATTAGTGCGCCCGCTGCCCATTAATTACACAGCCGCGCGCCCCCTGCGCGCACACACGCGCATTACTCACCCTTATCTCATACACCAAAACCAAAAGCAACCCCCTCCCGCGGGGGCTGTAAAACGCAAACTTCGCCAGAAACAGCGACTGGCAAACAGATGAGGCATTGTATAGTTGTGACATAATAAAGAGCTCATGCATATTATTTTGTATAAACTCTCTAAATTTTTCAAGATTATCAAAATTTGGAGAAAAATTGATTCTACCGAAAAAAATTTGCACAATGATTTAGTTAACTTTTCGAAATAAGCATATTCTGAAAATTAATAAAACTTTCTTTCAAAATGATCATATTGGCAGCAATTAATTAACAATTCAGGCAAGAAACTTTCCTTTTGCATTTTTTCTTACTTTTAGCCCACGCCCTTCATTGAGCTCTAATCTGTGTTTATTTTTGTAATTTTTCTTACTACCGCTTCCTCATCATTAACTTTTGACTACTCTGTTTGAGAATAGTAATAACTGAATAATAAATAAGCAAATTATTGTCTGTTAGTTCAGTAATCCTTCTCCAGGGGTCTCTACTAAACAAGAATTCTAGGATAAATTCTCAATATCAAAGGGCCATGAATATTGAGCCGATTGAGCCCACTAACTTAGCCCTTAACAGTATAAAAGGCTTTTAGATCAAAGTTTTAAAAGTTCGTTCAATTTTTATTTTAACCTCAAAATCAGATTTTTATGTTATATTATGCAAACTGAAAAATGATCTCTAAAAGAAAAAAAAATCTTCCAACAAATACGTCTCCACTTTCTAACCATTGAAAAAAGCAAGCAAGACAAATCTTTACTAGCTTCGTTTTAAATAATTGAATATATTTAAACGAAACATCCATAACAAAATATTTAATAATAATAAATTTGGCATTTAAAATAAAGTAAAATTGTTACAAAAAATAATTTATTGAACACAACATGAAATTACAAAGTTTAAATAAGCCGACCGTTTCTCCAATATAATCAATCAGTCATAAAAGCAAAAGTCCATTTTGTGAAAATAAATTACTAGGTTTCAGCTTTAAAATTTTCTAGAGTCTTTGCAAGTCCGTGGAAGCAATTAAAGAAATTCCCATTTTCCCATCTACCTAAACTGTCCACCTAGCTGGTTGGTGGCAGCTCGGCATTCCATGAACTGCCGCCAGTATTGCGTGCCTTCGATTCTCTTTTGGCACTTGTAGCCACCATAGTAGTGCAGACGACCAAAATCATCGCAGTCAATCCTTCCATCACCATTGCAATCCTGAGGATTATTAAGTTTTTTTTTTAATACGTGACTTTATTTAGTATAAGTATTCCAAATTAAAAAAAAAAAAAAAAAAAAATACCTGTCTGTATTTGGCCATGTATTTTCTTACTGTGGCCCCAGCACAAACGGGGTCGGTCACGCACCGATGGAAGGCTAAGGAAACGAGCAATTACAATAAAAAATGATTTCATGAGAGTCATGAGAAAAGTTACCTCCGCTCCAATTAGTGTTATCCCCATCGATGACAGGTCGGCCAGCGTCAAACCAGTAGGGTTCGGAGATGAGCATTGGGCCGCACAGACCCTGCGTGCAATTGTAGTTCAGGTTGCATCTGGTTGTCGCTTCGCAGACACAGCCCAAGCATTCAATCGACATTTCCGCCTCGAAACCTTAAAAATTACAATAAACATTTGAATAAAAATCGTGCAAAAGTAAAAGAGCGTGTGACTGATGTGGGCATGGCATGTTTGCTCGGAGGCACAATTGACTCTTTCTCAGGGTCTGCAAATGGATGTGTCAGTTGGAAGGTATGTTCGTGATTTATAACTGTAAGGTCTTTATCAGGGCATTTAAATTTATTGCAATTGCCATTTTATGTGGAATGAAGACATAAAAGTTTGCAAAATAAACTTAAAAGCTATTAATACTTTGCAATTTGTAAGGTTAACTCAGTTTAAATTTTTAATCATGAACTGCAAAAGTTTCGGGTCGTTAAAATATTATTTTGCTAGCATAATTATAATATAATCAAAATGAAAAATGTTGGAAAATTTAGCAAAAAACAAAAAAAACTTTACTAAAACACAACAAGATTTAGTTAAATTATTTGTAAAGTGAGAGTGAGAGTGGACCCTACAAGAAACATTTAAAATATATAACTTTTACCAAGTTTTTTTTAAATTTTTCATTTTTATGTCAAACAAAACATTGTTAAATAATTTATTATTAATTAAATAATTTTAAACTTTATCTTAATTTAAAGCCTCATTAATGCCAAAATAAAATTAGAATGAAACAAATAATTACACCAAGTTTCTTCTTACCTGTGTTTGGTAGTTCAAGTGATGCTGCAAAAATTGCGAAGACAGCGACGAAAACGATCACTCTGAACATTTTGCAATCTAGGTTGGGATTGCAGATAGATCAGGGTAGAGCAGAGGAGCGAATGCGGAGGCGGCGCGGGAGCAGAACCTTTTAAGTGCGCGGTCGTGGCCCCCTGGCCATTTTTCAGTCACGTTCCTCTCGCGTCTCTCTCGTCTCTCCGTCATTCGCTCTTTTTGCAAATCTCAACGCAAATTACACATTACAATAATCGCGCGGCCACAACAAACAGGCACGCGAATTTGCTCTCGTGGCAGATGGTTTGCGCCTGGGAGCTTTGCATTTTGGCGACTCTCACAATCAGTCAAGAACCAGTTTCTAACCAGCTTGATTGTTTTTTCCCAAATACAGTGCGAATAATGTTCACTAATTTAATTTGCATTTAAAAGCATAGATATAATTTATGCTTTATAGGATGATTATATCAGCTAAGAATTCACCAGAAGTCCTCCAGAAATTTTATAGTATAGTTGCCAATTAAGTTTATTTATAGCATACTATGTATTATTTGAATTTCTTGTTTATAATTATGTCCATCCAGAGTAATTTTAAATAAGTGATAATAATTAAATGTCAAATTCTCATTAGCAAAACAATTTTACTCCTGTAAGCTTTGTTGAGGTTCAATTTCACCCTTCAAGATTTATTTCTTTATTCCAAATATGAAGTTAGTAAAGAATGAAATTTGAGGGTAAAATCAATTGACGAAATATTTATTAGAATTATAAAAGGTAGTCTAAAGAATAATAATAAAGATTGAGACACTTATACATTACATTAACATCAAATACTTTTATAACATAATATTAATTAGTATGAGTTAGTTAATATAGTTTCTCTTTGCACAATTAGCGCAAATGACAGTCACTGGAAACTTGATAAAATAATAATTAAGCCGACTGACAATGTGTGATGCAACCTTATTCATGTGTGAAACTGTCGCTCTTGCAGAGATGCAGGCTCGGCGCCAAAATATGACGTCATCTTTACGTGACAAAAATTGCGTTCGTAATAAACGCGTAAATTAAATGCTGCGGCTCTTGATTGCGCCGCAATTAAATAACAGTTGTTCAAATTTCAAATTATTTAACTACGCAACGAATTTAAAATTAAACTTCAGACGAAAGCGTTGAAAAGAAGCACGAACTGTATGTGAATTTTCGACATTTTCTTGCATAAATAATAAACGTTGAATAATTTTGCTCATGGCCAATATTAAATATATTTTATTCAAAGTTTTATTGCTCCTACTTGGATCATAAAATGTGGTGTCTTAATCAGTCTTGATAAAGATTACTAAATATATTTTAAAATTAAGAAAGGCTAATAAGCATTATACTCTAAATGAGTGTTTCACTGTTTCCTCGTGTATTTAAATCTTTGCTGGGAATTTGCGATATAAATAAATGCCCAAGTTATCATCTTTTATCGTGAATTCTGCTATTTATATTCTTTGGTAGAATAAATTATTTCAGGCGGAAACTTTAGAAGCAGAAATTAAACAAATTGTTTTTCAAGATTAAATGAAATATTATTTAAAAAGGGCCACTTTGTTGGAAAAATTAAAAATTAGGAAATTCTCAAATTTGATAAAAGTCAGGTTTTTAGCAAAATAGGTGATTTTAAAATGTTAATTTTTAATTTTACATAAACATAAAATGGAATCAAGATTAATTTTCAATTTGAGCTTTTCTGTATTAAATATATAATTTAAATAGACGATCCTTCATTTTACCCATCTGTTTCTAACAATAAATTTGAAATTTGAATTTCCTTCCAAACTAGTCTGGAAAATTTTATTATTTGATTAGAATATTAATTAACTTTAATTTTTTAATTATGAATTTGGATGACTAAAATGATGTGTGATAATTAAATGCACCTCATGTCCTACCCACCTTTAGGTGGATGAATAAATAGTTCAAACTATTTATTAAAATCAAAATTTATATATACGTATTTATTTACTGCGTAAATATGGATATAAAAATGAGGGCAAATCCTCAGAAACAAATCATAAATTTCGGAACGTGCACTCATGTGAATAAACGATTCCCTTGAGTAAAAAAAATAATAATAATAAAATCGCGTTTCTTCCCTTGTGCGCTAGTGCACGGCTTGGGAAGCGATTTTTCTCGCAGAGCAGGTCGTGAGTGACGCAAACGATCAACGTCACACACGCAAATTCGCAACTTTATTGGCCCGCCACGCACCGCCGATTTCATTGCCATCGGTCAGGGCCAAAGGTCGCACAACGCACCTCCAGAAAAGAAAATGAACTACCACAAACCAAATAAAAGAAAATCTTTTTGTTTGAATTCAAATTGAGCCTCGCGTGGGTATAACTTTTAATTCGTCGTCGTTTCGGAGAACAATGCTAAGGCGCGGTGTTCGCCAGCTGCTCTAATTAAGAATAATAATCGCTTCTCTCTTCGCGCCAGGAGAGTCGGCACGAGACAATCGCAGCCTTGGTTGTGTGCAGCGGCCTTCATACCCATCAAAAGTCGACGAAAAAGCGACCAAATTTTGCATGGCTTATAAAGTTTTATCGCGTGTTGCTGACGCTGACCGTCCGAGGGGTTTTCCTCTTTAGGTTCCGTGTCTCGTAAATCAATTTAGTTTTTTTTTGTGGTTAAAAATAGTTCTGGTTTTGCCTCCTGTTTACTTTTTTGTGTTAAAAGGAAGTCCGCGTGTGCATCCGCGAAATGTTTTGGACAGTCATCCTGTTAAATAAAAGAATAAATAATTTGATAGGATGCACTGTATAAAATAACTATTATTAAAAAAATTTTACGTCGTCACAGTTGTTTATTTTTTGCGTAATACGAAAGCTTCTGGGGAATTCTTTTTTGTTTGCAATTTTCTGCGAGATATAGAGGGCAGAAATAATTTTATTTGTCTTAAGGAAGAGAAAAGGAGCTTTTGAAATTGCACGATATTCCCACTGTTTCGTCAATTTACGCGGTTTTGCCCTCTGACCCGCGCACTTTCACGCCGACCTGACTCACCGTTCAGCGGCACACGCAGTGTCAGTTGGCTAACCCGTTCATCCTTATTCCTAGCAGCCCTTCAGAGTCTCCTTACCATCGGGCCTGAGACTGTTAAACTCATGCCATACTCAACTTTTATTATTGATTGCGATTCATTGTATTATGTTGATTGATTATTTATTTATTCGTGTTTTAATTTGTAATTTGACATTTATTAAATTCCGACATTGATTCAATAATTATATAATAAAGAATGTAAAACGAAGCAGCCAAACCATGAAAGTAACATTCTCTATTTACAATCTTTAAAATCTCTCATTGCAAGCTCTTTATTTTTTGAACTTAATATAATTATTTAACAACGAATAAACTATAAAACTTAATGAAAGTTTTACTCACATATGTTGATGTAAAATTAAAAATGTCTATTGAATGATAAATATATAATTATTTAAAATTGCAAAATAGATAAAAAGTAAGAAATAATAATGGTGTTAAATTTATCATTGTTTTAAATTAAAAATAACGTTAATAATTTAGTTGCAAAGTGTCTTTATTGATTGTATCAGAAGGCAATTACTGCCCATAATTATATAATTTATTTGAACTCAGCGTCGCACATTACTAAAAAATTACTAGCTGAGCCCCACCTAACGAAGGTCCTGATGTCTTGTCTACTGGAGAGCGACCGCTCGCGGTGCTCAGGCAGCCAGTGTAATTTTGAGTCGCGCCTCGAGCAGATCAGAGCACACAACCCACAAAATGTTGCCCGCGCTCTTCTTCGCCCTCGCCCTTTTCGCACCCCTGACTGCAGGTATATTACAACTCATTTACCACAAGTTTTAAAACTATAATTAACACAATTGCAATTATTTTAAACTTATTAATAAAATTCTAATTATGTCACTAATGGACCTAAACAAGTTGAATTAAAAAAGTTTTTTTTTTTAAATTTTGCTGCTGTCGCATTGCTTATTTAAAATGTCACGATGATGTTCAATAATCGAAGAAAGATAAATTTTTTATTCTGAAGAAATATTCGCTTGTTACTTCTTCATACTGGCCCATAAATTTGAGAGCCTTAATATTCAAATTATACCCTAGAGGTCAAGAGAGGAAAATCTTCTGTGGAATTCCAAATATATTTTCCCTGTCGGTTCTGAGACCCCCTTCAATTACCTGATTAGAATCGTCTGGGTGTGAAGAGAAAGACGATAAAAGGCGGATAAAAGGCGCTGTTAAATGCCGAGATGTTCACCTTGAGTGCGACTTTTGTAACAAAACGCGCGGCTGCAGCCAAGGCGACGGTCGCCACAGGAGACAATTCTCGGAAGACGGCAATAAAAATCTATTTTCGTAATATTTAACAGATTTTTTTTCATATCTAAGTAATATTTTAAAATCTAGAAAAATAATTATACATGAAAGATCTAGAATCAAAGTTTAAAAATTGACTCCGTCAACACGTTTCCCTTGGCGGACACGCGCGATCAATTATAAAGTATTCAGTTGATTTCTTGTGGTAATTATATTTCTGAGTCTCAAAGATAACAAGTGAAGAAATAATCGTTTTTCATAGCAATAATAAGTATAAGTCGAGCGGAGGAGGCCCCTCTGTGTTCAAGAACTTGTATAACGGCCGGTCAGTGAACTTTCAATCTCTCAGACGATGAGATGCAGACCAATTGAACTTTTGCACTTTTAACCCAGCACAACTGTTATCATTGATCCCGATTGATCCATTAAATTACTAGATTAAAAAGCAATCACAACAATAAAGATAAAAAAAGCAAATTGGCTCAATTTTTTTGTTTATCAAAAAATAAAAAATAAAATAAATGGCGTTTGCAATTTTATATTAAATGAGCATTGTGTGATTAGCTCTATAAAATAATTTAATTTGAAATTTAACTATTGACAATTTAGTACAGCAAACTTTTGAAAATTTATTTTATTTTTTAAGTTTATTAATACAAAAATTAATTAAAAATTATTAAAATTAATTGGCATTAGTGAAATCAAGTCTTTAATTGAATAACAAACATTATAGGTATTTCTCACAATAATAGTAAATAAACAATTTGAAATTGTAACCACGACCGTCGCTGTTGTTCTTTTTTTTATGATTTCATTCTATTATGTCATTAAGGAGTATTTTTAAAGAGTTGGATCAAATAAAGCAATTATTTAGATTTCATGAGAAAAAAAGTATTTAAAATTGAATCTAATTTCAGCTCAACAGGGCGCAACTGGTCCTCTGAGTGTCGAGTGTCTGGGATGCATTTGTGAAGCTATTTCAAACTGCAACCGCACCCTGACCTGCAGTGGTGACGTGTGCGGCCTGTTCAGGATCACCTGGGCTTACTGGTCGGACGCCGGTAAACCCGTCCTTCAGGGCGACAACCCATCCGCCGACGGAGGTTTAAAATACTTAGCAACATTCCTGACAATTATTTAAAAAAAAAAAATCAAATTCCAGCATATGGCAGGTGCACGGTTGACCCCTACTGCGCCGCATTAACGGTTCAACAGTACATGACCAAATACTCACAGGTGAGTCGAAAAAATTTAAATCATAACGAGTATTTCTTACCTTTTCATCTTGCAGGACTGCAACCGGGACGGCAGTGTGGACTGCACTGACTTTGCGCGCATCCACAAGCTTGGAGGATACGGCTGCGGAGCCCCGTTGGACCCCATCTACGAACAAAAGTACACCACTTGCATCAACCATGTGCAAACTCTCGGTTAAAAAATTCAAGAATCAAAATCCATCTTGTTAAACTATAATTTAATTTAAAACTTTTTTATCCTGATGAATGCCAACTGAAAATCTAGAATTGCATAGGGAAAATCTGTAATTTTGTATTATCTGTGTTTTGAACTGTATTTTAAACACAATAAATAATGTCATATTCATCAAATGTCTTTTTTCATTTCATTGTCAGAAAAAAAATATAAAATGTAATTTTGGTTTACTTCAAAAATTATTAAACAAAAAATCTTCTATTAGCAAACAATGAAGAACATTCCAAAATATAAAATTATTTGTTTTGATTAATACCATTTTTTGGGAACTTTAAAAACCAGTATAGAGAAGACAAAAAAAAATCAAACTGAATGAATTTTGGTGCTACGAAAAGGAAATATAAATTAATTTTTAACTTTTATATCAGGTTATTTATCAGGTTCAGTTGAAATAAAATTAGAGAACCTATAGAGATGAAATTGAAGAATTACCATTGCTATGTTTCAAGGCTTAAAACCAACACACAGACCAACCCAATAGCCTAATAATAAGCTCACGTGCGCCATAGGAAAAAAGGTTTAAAATAATTGTAATAAAAATTATTAAAACGGAACTATACATATAGAAAAAGCAATATAATTTTAAGAATCATTAATTTTTGGAATTCAGTAAAAACATAATGTGCTGTAAAAACAATTTTAAAAATTAATTAAAATAGAAATGTTTCATTTTTCATTGTGTACGTGAGATTGACCATTAAGTCCCTTCACAAATGTGTGTCAAAAATGACATATTTTATGATGCAACGGGGCTGCGAGTGCTGGGATGACATAAAAGTAAAATCCAGCCTAGTTAAAAGTAACTCTTGCTCGCCACTAAATAATCCCTTGACGTAATACTTTCCTTTAATCCCAATTAACACACCAAGGCAAAAGAGTAAAAAGTTCAAAAAACTAATTCCGTGAGCAGACCTTGCCCAGATATTGGCAACAAGTGCCAACGAATGAATGGGCAATTGGACAATGGGAGCTAGACAATCGATGGGGAGGTCAAGAACGGGGTCGTCCGTCGGCCCGGCGCGACCAAGAGACGGGTGCGAGTGCCCTGTTATTAAATTACTATTGTATTGACTCGCGGGGAATAAAATACTAAAAAAAAAATGAATGGGGAAATGAGATGCACCAGTTTTTACACAAATCGGTGCGGCATTCATTCTTCAGACGGCGGCGATGGAGACGACACGATTTCTGCTGCTGATCGCGGCCTTTGGCGTTCTTTCCGTCCACTCAAAGGTACAAACCTATAATCTTTTTATGAAAATGATTCTTTTTATCTGAATTTTTTCAGAAGTGCCCTCCGGGCAGCGACCCATGTTCAGGCAATATGGAGTTTTTGAGGGCGGAAATCGAAAAAGCGACTCAAGAGTGAGAATATTATTTTGATGGCAGGAAGAATTACAATTATTTTTAAAGGTACAAAACGACTCTGGAGCAAAAGGTGAACGAAATCGCACAAATTTTGCGACATATGGCCGGAGACAACCTGATTGAAAACGCAGGCAGAGATGTAAGTATTTATAATGTGGAAAGTTCAATGGATTTTTTTAATTTCTTAAAGATTTCCGTCGACGCTTTGAAGGGTGAGTGTTCACTGAAGGAAATCCACACAAAACTTTCCACTTTCGAAAACGAGCTGACGTCGGCCCTGAAAGAATTGCCAACGCGAATTTCCAGGGTGGATGGAAAATTTGAGCTCACCATGAAGAAATTCGAGCAGGACAAAGTCAGCACTCTGAACTTTTTGGACGTCAAGTTAGGCGTAATTTTGTGAATATTTTAAAATTTTCGAGTTGTAATTTTAAATATTAGGAGATAAAAACCACTATTCTGACTGAGTTGTACGCAAAACTCTCAGACATGGCATTGAAAAGTGAAAAACTGGACATTGGTCGCAGTCAGCAAATTCAAAGCTTGGAAACTAGAATTGCGGTGAGCTTTATTTTGATACTAATTATATGGTAATTTTTAATTTTAATTAATTTTGAAGACTAAACTGGAACCCATGGTGGTTGAGGTTGAGCGAAAGATGAATAAATTTATGGAGAAGGTGGACAAAACTGAAGAGAAAAAACAACTTGCCCGGGACATCCAGAAACGAAGTGTTGAAGAAATGTTTTATGTGAGTTAATTTTAATTTCTAGGAGTACAGATATTAAACTTTTATGAAGCAGAAACGTCTCTTCATAATCTAAACATATATTTTTATAGAAAAATATAATCTTTCTATAAATTTTATTAATAATCCTTGTTTAAATTTCTAGAGAATTTGATCTTTTCCTTTAAAAGGTTATAAAATAGTTGATTTAAACATTAATTAAATAATGAATGAACTTTAAATTATTAATTTAACTCATTGAATTATTTATTTTTTAAAGTCTCTAAACACAACCATACTGTCCGAAATGAACGCGCACTTTGCGCGTGCTGACGAAAAGCTGACTGAGCTGGACCAACACCGCGAGAAGACGATTGAAGATCTGGACGAAAAAATTACGGTTTGATGTTTTTTTTTTCAAATTCCGAAAATTCCTTTTTTTTATAATTTTAAATAGGCTCTTGTTTCGCCGCTCGCTCGGGACGTGAGAGAAAGCTCACTGCTCATTAGTAAGCAGATTGAGCAGTTGAACAACGAGTCGCAAGTAAGAGGACAAGAAATGACCAATTTCCTAAGCAGGGCTGCCGAATCCCTTAAAAAGGTTTTTCTTCTTCTAAATAAAGTTGAGAAATTGTTCTTCAACTTATACATCATCATTTGACATAATCTAACTATAAAATATATAAATCAAATGTTTAACAAATTCCGTTTTCATTTCAGATTGAAATTAAACTATTGTCAGACTGCTCTAAAGCTGGTTGGTTTCGAAAACTCTAGATTTTTTTTCTTGCAATTAATTAAAAATCATTTTAGGTCGTCTCACCTTGACAGCGCTTTCAACTGGGCAATATTATTTTAGCACAGTTGAGGTTAGGAAAATATATTAATTATTATGATAATTTTTTTAATGTAAACTAAATATTTGAAAAAAAAAAAATTAGACGGACTGGTACAAGGCAAAGGCATTTTGTGACCGATTTGGAATGCAACTGGCAAGCATCGAAACCGAGGAAGAACGCAAAACTTTATTCGAGGCAGCACCCATAAAAAATAGTAATATTTTTACATTTTATTAAGTTTTTTAATAATGATTTTATTTTATTTGCCATAATTAAAGATTATTACTGGCTGTCAGGCAGTGACATCGGTCACATTCCAGGCCACTTCTACTGGTCGACCGGACACCGCGTGGACGACACGTGGTGGTCCAGTGGACAGCCGAACGATTTCGGCGAGGGCAAGGAGACGTGCCTCGAGTTGCACACAAACGGCGGCCGCCTCATCGACTACAAGTGCAGCGACGACGACTACTTCATTTGCGAACTTGGCCCCGACTGCAAGTACTTCAACAACCTGCTGCAGCAGTAATTGACGCCTTGATTGATATTCATTAATTAATTAAGCCAAGGGAAATCTCACGCACCTTTCTTCGCCCCTTTTGTAGCATTTAAATCTTCTGTATTCTTACTTACGAGATTAAAAGAAAAAAAATATTCAAAAAATTAATTCTGTATTTTTTTCCAGAAACTATATGAAAAAAATTTATAAAAAACTTATTATAATGCAATCGTTAACTTATACAGCATTACTAAATTTGAATTTGTGTATTACATGGTGCCATAGACATTTTGTACAAATTTTTATGATTTTTGTAAAAAATTGAATTGATCCATTTTTGTTTCAAAAACTTATAAAATTTTTCAATAGCTATAAACATGCTCTATATTAAAGAACAAGAAATTCCATGTAAATAAAAATTTGCGCAAAAAAAGATATATGTAAACATCGATAAAATATCATGGCATTAATTCAATTTTAGATTCTAAATAAAATTTACAAAATTTGTGGAAGATTTGTAAAAACGTGCTAATATAACTCCAAGCAGTCTCAAAGTGTCTGATTAGAAAGCAAAATAACACAAAATAAATGAAATTTTCGAAAGGAAAATGAAAATAAAGCTAGTTTTCCAGAAAAAAGTCTCAATATCTTTTTCTCTAGATGTTGTTATGTATTTGTCTTTTACCTACAGAATTAAGAAATTTAACAAATTTTGATAATATAAATAAATTGTGTTTTTACCTTCGTGTCTGGAAGTTTCTGGCACAGGCATGACAGTTCCACGGGATGAAGATGAAGATAACTTGATTTTTGTCCAACTTCTTCAAAGCACCAATTAAATTTTTATGGCACGGCACTTTTATTACTGATGAAATAGATGAACTCAATAACCAAATTCTTTGTCGGAGAACGAATAGTTATGAGTTAATGACAATAATGACTGATTTTTAGCGGATTTTCGTTCTTTCATCACAACACCTAATTCGTGCAAAGTAATAACAAGAAAACTAGACAAGTATGAACATGTTCTATTCATAAAGACATTCATTGGCTGTCCCGCATCTCAATCGCTTCTCCGATTGGTTGCGATATTGCGAGAAAACGTTTGAGTTAAAAAAAGCGGTGAATATGTGGTTATTTTATAATTATTTTTAACCAAAATGTAAATCTAAAAGTATCCGTATTTATATTATTTATAAATTTCTTCCATTGTAAACATTTATTTTGTAAAACTTTTCGTCAGAAAATCTGTGAGCTTGTTAAAAAAAGGAAAATAAACGAAGCAGCGCCATCTGTGATTTGCAGACATAACTAGCCAGGGGAGGATTTGTTTACGTGTATGGATGGAGTATTTCAAGAGCGGACTGAAGTCCGTCCTGGGGGCCCCGCAACCGGGACAGGTGCCCTCAGGAGCCGAGACGGTGAGTACCATCGAAAGGTCCATCCGCTCATTAATAAAACCGACCCATTTTCAGGTGGAGCGGCTGATTGAACGAGTGCAAACGTCCACCCTTTTGGATGACAGGCGCGACGCATGCCGGGCGCTCAAGGCGTTGTCCAAGAACTACAGGGTCGAGGTCGGGGCACAGGGCATGGACACCCTGTGCCAGGTTTTGGTGCACGACAGGAACGACCCGGAGACCGTCGGATATGTGATGGACGCACTGTGCAACGTCATGTCCCCTGAGACTTTCGAGGAGGAAGAAGGTGCTCAGTGCTCATAATTTAGAGATTAAATTAATCACTTTATGTATTATCTTTAACTTTAAATTAAATCTGAATAATTTTTTTGCTAAAAAAAATTCTAACACTTGTTTCAGAGAGAGGGCATGACTCAGTTGGTGGCCAATTTACTGAAATTTTCATTAAACAACCAGACAATGTATCATTGGTCTTGGGGCTATTGGAGGAGTTTGAATTCCACATTCGCTGGCCTGCAGTAAAACTGCTCTCCAGCATGTTGACCCACAGACCTCGCCAAGTTCAGGAACTGGTCTTGATCAGTCCCATGGGCGTTTCGAAACTTATGGACTTGCTCAGTGACTCCAGAGAAGTTGTTCGAAACGATGTAAATTTCTAAAATACAATTTTAATTTAGTTAAAACTATGTTTCAAATTTTCCTACAGGCTCTTTTGTTACTTATTGCTCTGACTAAAGGCAACGCAAACATCCAAAAAATTGTTGCTTTTGAGAGCGCCTTCGACAGACTTTTAGAGGTGATCAACAGCGAAGGGGGTTTAGACGGAGGCATTGTGGTCGAAGACTGTTTGCTGCTGATGTTGAATCTTCTCAAGGCCAACCCCAGTAATCAGAATTTCTTCAAAGAAGGGAGCTACATTCAAAGACTTCAGCCCATGCTACAACCAGGTAGCGAAGATGGGTGGCCAGCACAAAGAGCTGCAAATTGCCATTGTTTTCTTCAGGTACTAATAGATATTGGTGATTTAATTTTTGTTAATTAATGACTTCAGATTCAAATAAATATGTATTGATCCTAAAGTGATTTTAAAAAATTCTTGAAAATAAATTTTTAGGTTGTTCGAACGATGGTCGCTCCGGCGAACCCTGCACAGGCCACAGCCTCCTGCCAACAAGTAATGCGAGCTTGTGGTCTCCTCGGTAGTCTATGCGACTCTTTAATGGCATCCGGCGTGCCTGCAGACGTCCTCACCGAAACTGTCTGCGCAGTGGCTGAAGTCATCAGGGGCTGCAGTGAAAACCAAAATCTTCTGGGCGACGTCATGGCCCCTTCGAACCCTCCTAGAACTGCTCTTGTTGTTCTCCTGATGTCAATGGTCAACGAGAAACAACCTTTGGCACTCAGGTGTGCTGTTTTGTACTGTTACCAAAGTTTTCTGCACAGAAATCAGGACGGACAAGCACAGTTGGCACAAACATTGCTTCCATCTTCATCAGAGCAAGGTAGAAAATTACTTCAAGTACAATTAATTTTTATTTTTGCACTTGATTTATTTCTTTATTATCTATTTGTAGTGTAATATTTAAATTACATGATAGTTTTATATAAAAAAACTCTTGATTTCCAGTTGCAGGCTTGACAACTGGCCAACTTTTGTGTGGCGGCCTCTTCAGTCCTGATGTTTTGACAAATTGGTTTTCATGCATTGCTCTGAGCCACGGTCTTGTTGAAAATCCGGGCACCAAGGAACAGTTGTTGAGGGTGCTTCTGGCTGCTTCTCCAGGCCAACCAGCCGTCTCCCTTCTGCACCAGTGCCTCGTCCTTTTGCAACAAGCCCAGCGGCCACAGACAAGACTTGGCCTTCTGCAGCTACTGGCGCAGTGGTTGGCCCACTGCACACTGGCCGTCGGCCACCTACTGGCCACCTCGGGAGCTGTGGCTCACTTGACGGCCGTCGTTTGTGACGTGGCCGAGGAGGAACTTGTTCGAGGCCTCAGTGCTTTCATCCTCGGCCTCTGTGTTGCCTTTAATGATGACTCGGTGGCCACTTTTGGCCGCCTGGCTCTCATTCAGCTTATCAGCAAGCGAATTGGAACAGAGGCCCTTCTTGACAGGGTGGCCGACGTCACAAGACACGAAGCGTACGCAAAGGCGGCCAAACACCCTCAGCCGACAGCAACTGCTTCTGGTGATTTGCAGTTGGATCATGAGTTTTGCAGATTGTTAAAAGCACTCGAGTCTGTGGTATGTCACTGTCTAAAAAAATTAAAAAAAAAAAAAAAAAAAAAAAAAGATAAATTTTCCTCTTCTATGTTGCTAAAATGATTTTACATATAAATTTATTTTAATCTCTAGTAATTTTTATGCACAACAATTTTTTTTTTAATTTTCTCCAAATTTTATATAGATTTCATTACTCCTTTTTTTTCTTAAAATTTTTTGCTTTGCTCAGGTTGGCAAAGCAGTTGCTCCCAGACCAGAAGAGGTTGCCGAGCAGGTTGGCTCTGCACAGTACAAAGTGCTGATCCGCCAGCAGGACGAGCAACTGGCCCACCTCACTCAACAACTTGCCCAAGTCACAGCTGAGAGGGACCATCTGGCCGCCCAGGTGAACCAGCTTATGGCTCTTTCGGCGCAGTTGAGAGACCAAAACTCGGTACTCAAAGCAGCAGCAGACGAGGGTGGATTGCAGGCTAGGGTGGTAGATCTGGAACATCAGGCCTCTAAGGCGGCCACCGACCAAGAGGATCTGTTGGAGCTCCTGGCTGACCAAGAAGCAAAGCTGTCGAAGTACCGAAACAGACTGAAGGAGCTTGGGGAGAAGGTGGACCAAGTTAATTTTTCTCTTTTGTGTCAGACGTTTCATTTCATCACTAACCTGAATTTTCAGATTTCAGTTTGATGGAATTTTAATTGATGCACGGTATAATTTATTTTGAGTAAAAAGAGAAAGAAAATTAGTTTAGTCATTTTTGTTTCCATTTTTTGCAATTGTTTTTTTTTTTTTAAGTTTTGTCACTAACATTTTCTGCCCTCTGCTTTTAGTTATTTTTAAGTTTAAATATATGTGTAATTCTTTGATTGGCCATCTTTTTTTACATTTCCATTTTTCACAGGTGGAGGATGACGATGAGGTGGAGGATGAGGTTGCTGCCCTTACAGCTCAGGTCGTGATCAACTAGTCGTGCGACTGTTACTGATTTCTCAGAAAATTCCATTTAAAACTGTTGAAATAAAAAGTATTTATATGAAAGTGCAGATTTTCGATTTTTTTCTGTTTGTTTAACTAATCAATACAAAAAATTAATCTTACTAATTAAAATATGCAATAATGACTTCTTGTGGGAAAATTTTGAGGTTGAGATTTTTGGCCACTGCGTGGCGCCAGCAACGATTCAGGGAGGGACCGTGGGCACCAGGCAGCGACGCGCACCTGTCTCGCTCCGCATTTGCTCCGCATCCATCGCATTCCTGCCGCCCTTTTCTGTTGTTTTTTGTGTGTTTAGTTCTGCAAATTATAATGGAATAATGATGGATCGAGCAGCGCCGTTTATCCTGCTGTCGGTGCTGCTGTACGGCGCCGTCGGCCAGTTCGAATGGCAGCCGAGAGACGCGTTCGACGAAATTAGGCACCGCATAGACAAAGTCAACAGGTCGCTATTTTAACACACCACGGGCGTGGTTTTGCTTAACTATTGTTTTCAATTGCTTTTGATTACTTTACGCGTCATATTGTTATATTTATTCATTGAATTATAGTGTTAGAACCCTTTCTTTATAATTAGAATTAATTTTTCTGCGAAATTCCACTATTAAAGTTTCATAACCGTGCAATGGAATCTCTCGATATTTTGATAAGCATAATTGTTGTGATTCATTAATTTAATAATTATTATTCATCATTGCATCTGCACGCGTGTAGGTCACTGAGCTTATATTTTATTAAAATAAATTATTTCACAATTTTCACAAACCACTACATATATTATGTCCACTATGTATTTCTATATCAATTGATCTGATCGTTTTTAATTGATTTTTTCTTTCTAAAATAAGAAACTTATTTTTTACAGTGACAATTGTCCGATTGCTCACCTCGGCGACCTGTACCTTCCGGAGGATAGTGTTTCCCACCTCCCTGACATCAAGGACATAAACATCAATCCCATCTTCCCCAACCGAACTGCCCTTCTCCTACTGCACAACATGGCTCTCTCAAGAGCCTTCTTCTTCAGCTACACTCTCCAGTCTCGCTTCATTCGACCGGCACTCAATGACACCTACGACCCTGGCATGATGTACTACTTCCTGTCCACCGTGGCGGACGTCTCGTCCAACCCCCTCATAAACGCCAGCGCAATCTACTTTGCTCCTAATTCTTCTTACACACCCTCATACAGGTAAAAATTTGCGAGTATAATTTTTAACTTGAAATAAAATTTTTTTAAAGTAAAAATATTCCTTAAGAATTTAATTAAAAATCAGGAGCCTTTGGATGGTAATTAAACATCATTTAATTAATTGTGTAAAATATTAATGAAAATTTTGAGCTGCACAAATTGAATGTGAAATTCGTACATTTTTTGTAATTCTCAGTTGCCACTGAGAGATGTCGAGGTATTGAGCCTACAATCAAGTGCCAATTTTGAACTTATAAGATTACAAATTTTGCAGAGGGTTTTTCAATAAAACCATGCCACGCTTTGCTCCTCGCACCTATCGTGCTGACGATTTCAACGACCCAATCCACCTGCAGAGAATCTCCACAATGAACACTTTCACTGTTCAAGATTTAGGTGCCATCCCAAATGCCAGCCTAAGTAACGATTATGCTTCCGACTACTACAGGATCAATGAATGGTACCGCCAGTGGTTACCAGACGTTGTCAAGAACAGACAGGACACCAAGGTAAATTAATTCGTCCAAAATATTTCCATCTTTTATTTCAATCACACTAAAATTTCGTTGATTTTTTGTGAAATTTTATTTAATTTATTACTAAAAATTTTAATGTAATTAAAAAATTAAATTTCTCCTCAAGGTGACCTATGATGTGAAAATCAGATATGCCAACAACACAAACGAGACTTTCTCATTCCACGGTCCTCCCGGAGCCGACGAGGACCCTGGTCCAGTGAAATGGACCCGTCCCTACTTTGACTGTGGCCGCTCCAACAAGTGGCTTGTCTCGGCCGTTGTGCCGATTGCTGACCTGTACCCTCGCCACACCGGTTTCCGTCACATTGAGTACCCATCATACACCGCCATTGCTGTCCTTGAAATGGACTTTGACCGAATTGACATAAACCAGTGCCCTCTGGGAGAGGGCAACAAGGGGCCAAATCGTTTTGCAGACACGGCACGCTGTAAAAAGGACACAACGGAATGCGAGCCAATACATGGATGGGGCTACCGAAGGGGTGGCTATCAGTGCCGTTGTCTTCCAGGTTATCGACTGCCTCCAAATGTGAGACGTCCCTATTTGGGGGAAATTGTTGAGAGATCCACTACTGAGCAGTACTATCATGGCGGATTCAACTGTGAGCGAATTTCATGTAAGTTTCTTTTAATATAAATTTGAATATGTTATTTATTTCTATGCTTTTCATATTTCTAGGGATCCATCGACTTCCTCAACACTGGGAACGAGTGCCATTGTGGATGAAGGAAAAATACTTGGACAAGTTTTATGAGTACAGGAATTCCTCCAATGGCACAACCAGCAGGCAGTCTTTGGACCATGATAAGATGAATATTGATGAAGTCCTTAGATTCATCTTTGCTGTAACACCTAAATCCTGCAAAAGGTAAAATATATTTTTATTTAATCATATCTTTTATTTGAATCGTAATTAGCTACACCAACCAAGAGCTGACCCTGAATGGAGACATTTCCTTTGGAGTTGAAGAGCAATTTGGAAATGAGGCTAAAATGGCTGTCCGTTTGGCAAATTTCATTTCTGGATTTCTTCAGGTGAATTATTCAATCATTATGTACTAAATTCTTTGGTTAATCTTAAATTTTAGTTCAAAACGATTCTATCAAATGATTATTTTGTATTTGTGCAGATTGTTGATCCGTATGAGGTTTACTCTGGCACTAGAGTGGCCGACCCTCCTTTATCAGAGGATCAGATGATTGCCGAAACGTTAGCCCTTCTCATGGGTGACTCCAAAATCTGGTCGGCAGGCACTTTCTGGGAGCGCAACAAGTTCACCAACCGCACCTTATTTGCACCTTTTGCATTTAAGGAGAAATTGAACACCCGCAAATTCAAGGTTGAAGATCTGGCCCGTTTGAATGGCACTGAAGAGGTCTATCTCAACAGGGAGTGGTTCCAATTCCTGAAGCAGCGTTGGAGCGCCAACCACGACTCACTCGAGAAGATCAACATGAAAATCAAGATTCGTTTCAATGAGACAGGAGAGTACATGAAAAAATATGAAGTCTACCCCAATTTCTATCGGGCGGCCAACGTTGACCACGGATACTGGACCAGACCCTATTTTGACTGCAATGGAATGGTAAATAAAACCATTGTTTCAAACTCTTTATTAATGTGTATAATTTTTTGCTGATAAACAATAAGCCTTTATTTTTCATGAAATTATTGTTCAATTTGTTTAATATAAAAAAATTAACTGACACGAGGCTTTAATTTTCTTATTGCAGGTTAAAAAGTGGGTGATCACATACGCTGCTCCTTTCTTTGGATGGGATGCTCTTCGTGCAAGGCTTGAGTTTAAGGGCGCTGTTGCTGTCACCATGGATCTGCTCACCCTGGACATCAACCAATGCTCAGGCACCTACTCCACACCCAATGCCTTCAAAGGTACTCACAAATGCGATCGCAAGTCGTCCTACTGCACACCTATTCTCGGCCGAGGCTTCGAGTCAGGCGGTTACAAGTGCGAGTGTCTGCAGGGCTTTGAATATCCATTTGAAGATGCCATCACCTATTTTGATGGACAACTGGTTGAATCAGAATTTAGTAACATAGTGGCTGACACGCCTTCCAAGTACGACATGTACAAATGCCGTCTCTCAAGTGGTCACACCACAACGGCCAGCATTGGCATAGTTTTAGCTGTCTTTCTTGTTGTGCACCTTCTGCGCTTTTGAGAAATTATGATCTGAATGTATTATTGTTTACGTGTTCAGTTTTCGCTGGGATAATCTTATGATATTAAGAGTTGATTTTAAATAATTTGAAATTAAAGTTAGAGGCAGCTTTTACGTCCGTCCATTGAAAGACATAATATAATGAACTCCGTCCATCTAGATGTTGTGGATGTAAGAAAAGTATTTTAGACTAGGCAGTTTTAGTTTTTTTAAGATTTTTTTCATTGATTTTTATGACTTTTATTTCATTGAACTTATGATTCCATTGTTAATCAAACTTTCATTCCATTTTGTACAAGTGGTAAATAATGTGCAGCAATAAAATCTCAGTCATTGTATTAAATAAATCTATCATGTCATTTCCACATTTTTACCTCAACAAATTACATAAATAGGCATTAACATGGTTTTGCAATATTTAATACTTTAGGTCCTCATGTAAGATAAACTATGTTGCTTACACCCATGATTATTGCAGAGAGCAAATTAAAGCCACATATTTTTGCACTACCAATGCCAAGTGTGGGGATACATTTTACGCCAATTTATTTTTTCCACTTGCAGCATTATAAAAATCCACAAAACTTAAGCTAGCATTCACAGCTCTTTGTCATGGTCCCTAATTTTCTGTATGTCAAAGTTATATTACTATTTATTTCTACTGAGAGATCTGCCAGGCCTAGAAAAAGCAGTTATCAAGGCTTCAACCTTGTCTAACTGGACGTCTATTTCTCGTCGACGGGTCTGTACACGCAGGGTATTTGACCTCACTGGCAGCCGGTTGAGATCAGCAATTAGTTTGTCCTGAGTGGCCTTGAGTTGGCTCAAATACTGCAACCGTTCCTCTTCGTTGAAGGGCTTGGAGTTGTCATCAATAGACTTGACACTCGGTAAAGACGCCTTGGACCTGACGCTGGCCTCCTTGTCACTGCATGACAAAATTATGATATAATATATTTGAAAAAATACTAGATAAAAAATATTACCCTGCATCAGACTGCAAGTCCCAACGCACTAGTTTGTCTCCAGTGCTGGTCGTCCCCTGTGTAGCCTGATGGGCATGATCGACGGACTCTTCCTCCTCCTCTATATTCAACCTGAGCTGTAGCTGTGACCTTTCCTCCCAGCTTGCCGCTGATGGTCTCAGCTCTCGACCGCTCAGCATAGACTCCACTGCCGTCTGGGTACCCTGAGAGTGCAGTACTTTGGTCTCGCACTGGACGCCTTCGTCACATGTCGTTACTGCTGACATCGGTCGTTGCTGAGAACAAGTTGCCCTCGAAGAAGTGGCGTAGGATGAAGCAGGGCGAGTGGGGAAAGCATTGTGGTTGCGAGTTTGGACCTTGGGCTGGACATTCGAGTATTTCTGGTTGGACAATGGTGTCCTCTGCTCACTAATGTGAGCCTCACGGAACTGCTTTTCAAGATTTTTCACCAGCCTCTTGTTTTCATTAAGAAAATTCCTCTTCGGTTCTGAAAAGAGACAAGACATTCAATGGAAATTCCGGGAAATTCTTCAATTTTTTTAGGAAAAAGCACAAGAACACAAAACTTAAAATTCAAAATTAAGACGCTTTAAGTCTCAACTTACTTGCGGTTCCTTTGTGTATAAAATTTAGGGAATCCATGCTTTTTCAAAATTTTGAAAACAACAATCAGCCGCAGACTCTTGAGGTCAACAATGCACAAATAGCAACAAAGCAACAATTATTCGCATTCCAGAGCATCGTTAAAAATGGGCGTAACCGCGCACTTTTCCTCTCACGCGATGTTCATTTGTTGAAAAGGGGTGTGGCTGAGGTGGAGACGGAGGACGGAGCCAAACAAACAAGGAAGTCTTGAAATCAAGAGTCAAGCTTTATGGGAATTTTTTGTAAATTTATCACTCAAAAGGGCAAAATAATTATTTATATTTTGCTATAATGCCCTAAGAATATCGTGACCTTCAAGTCCTTCAACCTCCGATATGGAAAAATTGAGCGAAAGGGATAAAATTTTTCGTCTGGCGATTTCTTCTCGAGTTCTTGTGCTCGTCATTCAGGTTCAAAATTTTTTCAATTTAATATTTAAAAAAGAATAACAAAAAAAAAAATTCCTTTCAGCTGCTGGCGTACAATCTACTTCCCAACCACGAGACGGATGTATTTGCATCCCCCTCAAGTCCAGGGGATGGTCAGCGACCTCTCGATCCTGTGGTGTCCTTTCTATTGGGCGGTCTTCTGCACTGGGACGGCCAATACTTCCTGCACGTTGCTCGCTATGGCTACACCTACCTGAATACCCTCGCCTTCTTCCCTCTTCTACCTATGGCAGGCTCTCTCATAGCCTCTCTCGCGTCACCTCTCACTGTTCTTCTGTCACCTCCGATGCTCTTCTTGCTTTTATTCACCATTCTCAACTTTTACTGCTTTGTCTACGCCGCCCTTGCCCTCTACGATCTGAGCGTAGCCCTGCTACCCCTCAACTCTAACGTTCCCTTCCGCTCGGCAGTCCTTTTCTGCTTCTCGCCAGCCTCAATTTTCTTTTCCGCCCCATACTCAGAGTCCCTATTTGCGTTTGTCACTTTCTCAGGACTTACTCGTTTGCACACCCCTTCGCAACCTTTGTCCTCAACCCTGGCTCTTGCTTTGAGCACAGCCTGCCGCTCCAATGGCCTGCTGAACATATTACACCCACTGCACCTTCACCTTCGGTTCCGCCGACCGCACCTCGCCCTCCTTGCACTGGTGCTCATTCCTATACCCTTCCTCCTTTTCCAGGTCTTTTCCTATGGCAGATTCTGCTTAGACCCTCATTATTCACCTCCCCCATTTCTCCTCGAGCACGCTCAGGACAACGGCTACTTGGTCGCAGGTGGTGCCCCGCCACCTTTTTGCCAGCAGTCACTGGCTCTACCCTACCAATATGTGCAGAGCAGCCACTGGGAGGTGGGCTTCCTCAGGTACTTCGAAATGAAGCAACTGCCAAATTTTTTGCTCGTCGCACCCTTATTGGCAATAGTGGTACCATCAGGGTGGCGCTTTTTTCGAAACTACCCTCGGCACTGCCTTACGTTGGGCCTGAGAGGAACATGTCCAAAAGCAGTGCCTGGCGAGTTGCCACCAAACACCCTGCCACTTGTGGTTCACACTGCTTTTCTTGCAGTCTTCTGCTTTTTCTGCATACATGTGCAGGCAAGTAATTTATCATTGAGGTATTATTTTTTTTTACAAGTAGTAAAAATATCTTAGATGAAAACTAGTGAAAAAAAAAACTTAATTTTTAACTAATTTCTAAAAAAATTGTAGGTGACAACAAGAATAATTGCATCCTCGTGCCCAGCATTTTACTGGTTTGCTGCACTTTGGTCTAGTCACAAATCCCCAAAAGTGGAGACACTCATTATCACAAAGAGCTACTGGCAATGCTTTTTATTTTGTGAACGCCCCAAAGACTGGAAAGGCCATTTTGTACGCCTTTATTTTTTAAGTTACTTAATAGTAGGCACAATTATGTTTAGTGTAAGTCTTCCGTGGACGTAAAACAATAAAAAAAAAGTTTTTTGCAAAAGATTGAATACCTGAAAAATGAATATTTATTAATAATTAAGCAATCCAACTAAACAATAACAGATGGGCAGGTTTTAGTGGAGGGATCACAGATTTAAAGAGCCGCTATGGCAGGCATGCTAGCCTTGCAGTCTATGTGTGTTCGGGCATCATTAGTGTAAACTATGGGAAACGGCTGTGAAAACGTAAACCACTCTTCCTCAGACTCAAAAGCCAACTGCGAAACCACAAAAGACACGGGCAGTGCTTGGCGATACCTGCATAAAAATACATTTAGTTTCACATTTGACAAAATCCTCAAGTTACTCACGCTTTGATTAGAATTTTGACTGCGACCTTTCTCTCCCTTTCCGAGAACCAATCCATTAAATACCCAGACATCAAAGGAGCTGTTCGGTAAAGTTTGAACATTTTGTTATAGTCCGACTCCAACCATGCCTTATACACGTGAATAGCGTGAGACATTGCCTCCGTCTTTTTCTCTTCAGCAGTGAGCCTAGCCAAAGTTGTGGTTAAATCTGTAAACAAATTGAAATAACATTTCATTCAAAATTTTTTATAAAAAAAATTTACCTAGAGTATTTTTGGTGAAGACATAATAGAGCAAGAGGTAGGCAGTGAATTCATTTTCATTCCTGCCGCCACAATCACTGTACAGCATACGCAACTGCGTCTGACACTGATTGAACTCTTCAGGGTCTTTACTCTCCAGGGCGACCCTGGCGTGCGTTTCGTATACGAGAACGGTAAAAGGGCCTCGCTCTCCTTGCACAGTTAAATCTTGGCGGATCGACTTGAACTGCTCACATGCATAATGGTAGTCGTGCTTCACGATCCACTGCCTCTTCACCCATTCAAGAGAGCGACGCAGCACTTCGACAGGGCGCACAGCAGAAGGCTCTGGCGCCTTTGTCAACCGTAGATAGGGCTTTTCTATGTTCTGACATGTGCCCACAATGTGCATCGTGCTCCAATCAGTATTTTCTTCGTTGAACTGAAAACAAACAAAAAATTGAGTCAAGTTATTTATAACAACATTAACTGATATAGAAGCCAATTTTTTTTAGATTAAATTTTGTTAATATCAGAAAATCAGATTAAAAAACCAATAATAATATTGCGGTAATAGACTCACCTGAAGTTGGGTGGGCTTTGGAGCCTCAACACGCAAATGTTCCTGGAAGCGAGCAGCCCGGCGCTGGAGTTGCGCAGCATTGACTTGCGGTGCAGGAGCACCAAATTGGCCTCCTCCGCGCCGCTGTCCGAGTCTGCCAGTAACGCCACCCCTGCCTCTCCCCCTGGCCGCGCCACCTCTCGCCTTCTTGGCCTGAGGGCCACTTGGTCGGTGTGGACTTGGCGATGATGACGTTGACGAGGAGGAGCTGCTCGAGCGGCGTCGCCTGGAACTGCTCGAGGACGAGCGACGTCTGCGCCGCCGCACCAAGTGAGCTGGTAGCGGTTCGCTGCTCCAGTTGTGAGTCAGGATGGCGTTGCTGCCCTGCTTGGCTTTTGCAGTGAGCATTTGCTTCAAGTAGACGTCGACTCGGTCCCGGTCCTCTTTACTGTCACACATTGAGTAACATCGCATCACATAATTTCTGTAAAAATATAAAATTAAATCAGTTGCTTGTTTTCTATAAAAAGCTTTTAAATTATAAATATCAAAAGGAAAATTACTGTAAAGTTATGGGCCACTCTTGAATAGCGCACTTGGCAGCAATATCGTCGTCCTTTTTCTCTGAAACATGGGAGATAGAAGGAGATGGCGGAGGAGGAGGGGTAGGAATATTTTCAGGAGGTGGTGGAGGTGGAGTGGAGACAGGAGGAGTATTCGGAGGTAGTGGAGGTGGTGGCTGCGTGAACGAGTGGCTCTGCAAGTACGGATTGTTCAATTTGCCACCCATCTGGAACTGCATCGGTTGCTGCTGCTGACGACCTCTTTTGTTGCGCTTTTTACCACGACCACCTTGCTGATTCTGCACAAAACAAAAATTCAAATAGATTTTGTTACAACTAAAACCGTTTCCTGTCAAACCAACCATATTGTTCTGAAATTGGTTCGGATGCCGTTGTTGGTTTTGATTGTGATTTTGGTGCTGCTGGAAGCCGAGACCGGCTCTCTTCCCCATATTGAAACGCATCGGAGTACCAAAGGGACCTGCGTTGCCAGGAGGCATGCAGTTCATCGGAGGCATTGGGGGCGGAGGACATACTGGAGGCGGCCCTGTAGGCGGCGGGGGTACGGGAATGGAGCTAGGAGACGGAGGGGAGCCTGGGGGCAGAGGTGGAGGACTCTCGGCCCCCGGAGGTGTGGGTTCGTCATTTGGGGGCATTGGAGGCCGATCGTTGGGCCTTCGAGGACCGGGACCGCCTATTCGGAAGGGTTGAAAACCTGTGGGCTGAAGCAAGTGTTTTGATAAGATGGAATTGCGTTGCAATTTGAATTTCCTAATTTACCCTGCTAGGGGGATAGTAGCCAGGAGGGGGCGTCATTGGAGGGCCGTATTGCCCTGGAAAACGTTGGCTCCTGCAAATTTTCACGAAATTTGTTAAGCATGCTAAAATCAATGATTTACATGAGGACAAACCCTGGGTAGAGCAAAGGATGGAATCCGGAGAACCATCCATTCGAATTCGGGGGAGGTTCGCCCATGTTGCGACGATCTCAAACCTGCTCTCAAAACAACTCGTAACGAGCCAAAAAACCGCAAATAAACCGAAATGATACGACTATCTGTCAATCTGGATGATTTTAGGAGGAAAATTAGACAAATCTCGGCCGAAAGTTCGGTCGGAAAAGACGAAGAATTCTGCGACAATCGGAAATTGAGAAATTCGTACGGCGACAACAAACATGACCACTGCGCGAATGCGCAGCTCGATGCGCGATTGTTTTGACTTTTTGAGAGGGACCTTTGGGGCGGGCGGGAAGATGAGAATCCTCATGGAACAATTTCCAGCAGCGCATGTTGTACGCAAACGCGTTTAATATTTTGTAATATTTAATAAAAGAATTATTAAAATATGCGGACCGTGCTCAAAGAAGGGAAAATAAATTATTGGCTGGTATTTTTTTTTAAATATATAAAACTGAAAAAAAAACTCAAACACATACACAAAATTTTAGGTAATTTAATCATTTTAATACAATATTGCATTAGGCTACATTGGGCTGCATTGGTAAATTAATTAATATTTTATCTCGCCTTTTCAAACCTAATTGCAAGACACTAGATACTTATTTAAATTTAGACAAATAACAAAATATTATAAACTCTATTTATTTTTACTGATTATATTAAGTTAAAAGTCTATAAGGGTAATAAAAATGAATTTGGTAGTAATATTATTTTTATTTGCAATTTTTATTTATCAGCCGTAGGAAGGTCTGATTGTACATTTAGATTAATTTAGACTAAAAAATCTCTCCGTACAAAAATATATAAACTACGTAAAAACAATTAATAAAAGTAAACAGGCGCTACAAGTCTTATCGTGCAGGCTATGAGAGCAAGCAGAGATCCATATCACAGTCAAATGTGCAGGCGCCAAACGTCCAGCGGCGGGTCTTTCCTGATTACAATTATTGTTCGAATAAATATACACGATAAAATAATTAGTCTCAAAGATGGGGTAGAAATAAGTTGCGTACACGAGGAAACGGCCAATTTCTATTGATATGATAATGCGAGAAACAACTAAATTTTGCTAAGTGTACAAAAAAAATTATGGTCATAAGTTATGATAATAACTAGACGTTGACTAGTCTGTTGGAAAACAAGCCACATAAATTATAAACACATTGACAAACAGATATGTGCCAAACAAGCACACGTGTCATGGTTGTAAGCTGACGGCCATCGATCAGAAAGTCTCAGAAGTCGCACATCTTATTTCCAGAACATTTAAATGCATCGGGATAAATTGGATTCAAATAGGCTTCGACACACACTTTTTCCTTGATATAAAATTAAGTCCAGAACATGTCAATTTGAGAGAAATAAATTGCGCCAATTTTAGACACAAGAGCAGTGTCAATTTGATAATACTTTTGCTGTTAAACGTCATTTCTCTGCACGGAATCGATCCAGTCGATGAAGTGCGACACCTTCGTGTAGACGCCAGGTCGGTTCTTTTTTCCGCAGCCGTCGCCCCACGAGACGACGCCCATGAGGACGTGACGGCCTCTGCTCTCACAGGCCAAAGGCCCTCCCGAGTCTCCACCACACGCGTCGGTGCCACCCTCGAGCGACCCGGCGCAGATCATGCTATCCAGGATGGCTTGGCGTCGTCCGCCGTACACCTCCGGACTGCGGCACTGGTTGAGGGGCACCACCGGCACGGAGGCCGCTTTCAGCACCACCGACAGACTGTCCTTGTCTTCAAAGTCCTGAGCGCCCCAACCTGTGACCGTGCACCACGTGTCGGCCTCCACCTCTTCGTACCGGCCGGGCAGGCAGATGGCTCGGACGTGGCTGTCGAACTGGATGGCGCGTCCGCGGGTCGAGGCGGGGTTTCCGTAGGTGGCCACTGCTGCGTCCTTCACGCGAATCACTGCTATGTCGTTGCTGTAAGGACCAGCTGAAGGGCAGAAAAATTTCGTTAAATTTTGTTAAGTTAAATTAATAAACTAGATTGTTGTATTATAAAATAGGTTTTAAATTTTAAGCATATTAAAAATTGAATTGATTAATTAATAACAATCTGATTGTGTTCATTTCTGCATTATTCGTCATATTATGAAGTATACATCAAAAGTCTAATTTATTGCAAAAATAATAATTTAATATTTAAAATAAAAATAAACAAACATAAATAGTATTAATATTTATATTTTTGTTTGTAATTAAAAAATTTAAAACATTATGCATCACATGTAAATTAATTTTTATATTTTAATGAGACTTATAAATTTGCTATATTCATATTATGCTTTATTTTAAATATAAAAAAATGTAATATGTTCAAACAGAAATTCAAAATAGATATTAGTAATTAAGCAATTTTTTATCTGCATCTGGCACGAAAGAGTTGAAGTTTTGCTCATTGAGTTGTTATATTTGCAAAATTTTTTATATTGGTATCAATGAAATTATTATTTTAAGATTTCTGTATTTCTTATTTCTAAATTCAAAATTTAATATACAGGATGCAGATTAAAATGTTGTGTTTGATGAGAAAAAAAGAATGAGTAATTTACTTATTGACCTAATAAAAAAAATGCTCACATTTCCTGAAGTTGGGATGGATGACAATGGAGCTGGCCCTGAAGGTTTGCTCGTAGGCGTCGGGCTTGTTGCGGCGGTGCTGGCCGATGGCGATGCGCAGAAAGCGCTGGTCCACGTCGTCGGAGACGCAGTGGGCCGCGGTGAGCACCAGTAACGAGCCGATGACTGCCCCGCCGCACAGGTGCTCGTACGTCCTCTTATCAGGTCGCCAGACGAGCAGCTCCACCTGAAAACGATTAATCGAATGCTCATTTAAATGTCAATCGCGTCCGACTCGCGGCAGACAATCAGGCGACGACTGGTTAACCCCGATCGCGACTGACGCATCTCATGGACCACTTAAATGCATTTTCTTCGGCATTCTTTCTTTTTACAACGACTTGCTGCGCACTCGCTCGTGTTCTTGTTTGTTATTTGTTTGCATTTTCTTCACCGAGAGCCTCTCAATCTCTCTTTCCAAGACTTTTGTTTGCTCCGCATAAGACACACACACACACACACGCATAAATTTAATTGTACGGAAACACAACGTGACTGTTTATTCCGGTCTCCTTGTGTTCAAATGATTTTGCGTCTCAAAAAGTGGAAATTAAATATATTATTCAAGAAAATTTGAATCTTTTGCAAATTTAATGTAACTGTTTTTTGAGAACATTTTTGATCACTCATTGGAGCATTTTCTATATTTTATTGAAGATGAATAATTTTGTGTAAAAACCAAAATGTAAATAATAAAGTAAAAGATAAGCAAAAATGTTACTCTACATTTTTTGGCCAATTTTTTTTACTGCTGTAAAAAAAATAATAATTGGATCAGATTTCTGTAAGAAAGTTTTTTCCTCCTTCCAATGTTTTCATTATTTGCTAACATATAAGATGTGTTAAGAAGTGGGGCACCCCGATTTTAAATGACAGTTGGTGTGCAATTTCTACCACCCTTGGGTACTTCAGAACGGCCAATTATTTTAGCCCAATTTGGTTTCTTCAATTTTTGCTTGATAAAATCCATGTAATTTGAAATACATTGGAAAGTTGAAGTTGGGCAAAATATTTACACGCTTTTGTTGCCTATATTTCAATAGTTTTTTTTATTGTCAATTAGCATTCCAGAGTAAGTTAGGCAAAAATTAATATAGCCGTTCCAGAGACACTAAGGGTACTACTGCATACCAACTTTCAAAAAAATCAGGGTGCCCCACCTCAGATGTATACCTTGTAAGTTGAACAGAAAAATTGTATGCTAATACAATATTATTTCATCTTAATTCATTTATAGTTAATTTCCTCATAGATGTAATTGTTTGCAAACCACCACTTTTGAATTAAAACATTAATCAATGTCTCCCTTGGAATGCCTCGGAATTCCTTCTGGTTTCCCAACTTCGTGCATATATATCAGCAAACTCGTCCCCACAGCTCATGTTTGTAAAGAGAGATTTGTTTGAGTGTGTGTATGCATATTAGATTGAGAATGCATACTTACAGTATGAAATCATATTGAATCAAATGCGAACTTGAGTTCAAGTGGCGAGAGCGCCGAGAGGAGCAGGCTGGCTAGTCAAACTAAAAAAACTAGCCACCTCTCTTTGAGAAAGAGAGGAGGTGACTCACCTTATAACACACCTCTGGCAATGTTCATTAATTATACAAGTTTTTAATCAGAACGCCTTGTGGCAGTGACTAATTACTTATAATCAATATCCAGTGAAAATTTTAAATTAGAAGAAAAAAATACATTTAAAATTGTTCACCTATGAGTGGTATATTCTGAACTTTCAATACTTTTTTTTGTATGAATTTATGCACTTTGATTTTCATAAAAAATTGAATAATAACATTTTAAAGTTCTACGAAGAAGCAATTTTAAGAATGTAAACTACCCTGTTGGGTGATAGATTATTAAATTCAGCAATACTTCAAAGGAGACAAAATGATATATATCATTTAAAAGTTGGTAAAAAGAAGAGTTTTCAACAAAAAAGTGGTCTTTGTGGAGACATTTTCTTATAAAAATTTCTCATAGAGAGTCTATAGCAATCCAAAATATAGACATAAAGAAATAAACTGAGCTAAAACAATTAAAAAGAAATGACTTGTTCATCTGTTCCAAATGGAAAACTTCCTTAAATAAGTAAAACAAAGCATCGAAAAAAAAACATGCATAAATTTGATGTCATCACATTTCAAAAAAAGGTATTTAAAATACAGGAATTGAAACAAAGTTAATACTCTGCTATTTGAATCAAGCTTAAAAAATGAGTGAAACATGTTAAGAATAAAAATGTCTTAGAAAATGCATTTTTTATTTTATTTAATCGGCCACCTGATATGACTAAATTGTCTGCCTTTCCAGCTCAGATTTTTAGACGAAAAGAAACTAGAAATTTATTTTGTGGATGTCATTGAAAAAAATTTATGAAACTTGCAACTCACCTGCCAAGGGTAAGCACCATAGGGCGAGGCGGCTCCACCGACAATCTTGGCCGCCGCGGAGCCGGAGCGCGGAGGCGAAAAGACGACGCCGCGAGTGCCACACGCGTGTCTAGCGGTGGCTTGCGGGGGCTGCGTCGGGGGCGGCACCAGCGACGGAAACTTTGGGAAGCCCCCGCTGCGGGGGTGGCGAACCCCGGTGGTGGCGAGGGCCGCTCCCAGCACCAGTAGCACCACGATCGGCGTCCTGCTGGCGAAAGTCATCGTGAGGTTTTAATTAAATCTAGGCGTTTTATTATGTGGAAAAGTGGTATGTGCAGTGCACGCTTGATTGGGTTGCATAAGCGAGCGGATAAATCTGTATTTATGTCGGTCGGATCGATAATTTATAATGAAGTAAAGTTGAGGCAGGTCGCCGCGAATAAGTGAGTGCCACGACAGTATTAATTGTAGAGTGCGGCCTTGGCCCTAGAACGCGGCGTGAAAGCTTTCTCGATAATATATTGTTCGAAATACATCCTTCATTGGCTATTTTGCTGTGGGTTTGTCCGCAGACTGCATTCGCCTGCAGCTGCAGACAGTAGGAAATGAATAAAAATGAGAAGAAAAAAAAATCAATTTTATAAAAGTCAAATTAATCTTTTGCTTGAATTCGATCCAGCATAAAGAAACTTGGAATAATCATTTTTGAAAAAATATGGAATAAAGGTATTTTCCCTTACAATTCATTTAAGATAGATAGAATATTTTCAAATGAATTTTATTTTAAATATTTTAGATAATCTGTGTGAAAAATACTGCAAATTTTAAAAATATATATAAATTTACATTATGAAATATTTCATATTCATAAATATTTGCAGAAAATATTAAAACTCTTTAAATTTATAACAACTAGGAATAAAAAAATATTTTAACACATTTATTATATTATGTAGATAAAGATAAACATAATTGACCAAGGTGGGTGAATCTTGATAAAATTCCGAAAAAATTCAAACTTTCCTGATATCTTTACCAAGAAAAGAGAAAGTACTGATCAAAATTAAACGTGTATTAATCACAAGAGCAATGAGCAACTTGGTTATCAAACAATTGAGCAATATGTAATAATTAATTGTTGAAAATGTCAATGTCTCATGTTATAGTGGTCGAAGACAATGGATCGTTACAGTAATATGTGCCAAGGTCTCTGCTCGTGATTTTTGGCCTCTGACGAATTGAACAATAAAATTGTCAACTTTGCCATGCGAAAATCACGTGTGGGCGTCGCGACAGTTGACCTGACTTTGACACCTATTTTAACTTAATCACTCAAATATATGGAATTTTCCACAATTTTGTTGCAATTACTTTTATCTTCAATTGTGAGTGATATTTTTTTCTATAAATTATATGGGTCACGATTTAATAAATTATTTATGCTTATATTGTCTATATGATTCACGGTTTGGACAATGAGCACTTTTGTATACTTTTCCTGCTTTTTAAAATGCAAATGTGCGCGTCTCTCTGCATCATAAAACCGCGTACTCGCGAGTTCGCCGCGCTATTCGCAATACTGCACGTGTGCAGCGGCGCCTGCCAATTAATTGCAAAAAGGCGCGCCTACACTCAATATGCACAATAATAATTTAAAATGACAACGCGCGCGCGCGGAGAAAGCAAATTTCCGAGCACATCAGGGCCAAGATATTTCCAGCGTGAGAAATCTTATGTAAAAGAAGAGACTCTTCCTAAGATGTGATGAGTAAAGCATACCTTGTCATTTTAGTGTTAATCCAAGACGAAACAGGAGTGAAAAGTCAGTCCAGCTGAGTATCCAAATTTGCTGTGTTTATCTGAAAATCAAGACAAAACGTTTGCAATTTTGAGAAAGGTTTTAAGATGAAAAAATAATAATAATAATAATAATAATAAGTTGCTGTTTGAGTGAGTTAAACATAGTTTTATTTTTAATATTGAGAAAAGCAAGGTAATGAGGATTACTTTTTAATCAATAATGAAATGAAAAACATCAATAATTTAGAAAAATTATTTTAGTATTCCTTCTACTTTTTTATAAATAATGCAACATCAATCTGCAAAAGGAACAATAAAATAAGATATAAAAAAGAACAGAATAATGAAAGTGCACAACCTTGGATCACTTTAAAATAAAATACTTAAAACCAAATTTAATTATTTAAATTTGTAAACAGTGTTATATACTTATAAACTTCCTAAGTATGAAACACTGCATAATTTAATTATGTGTTTTTCAATTATTAATTAATAATTTAATTTATTTGTTCTTAAAATACCATAAAATTTAAATTACATTAAAATGAAAAACACGCAAGTTATCTCCGCCAAGAATCATCTTAACGTAATGAACAGGTGTTGGAAAGTGGCTTTTGTCCTATGAATATTTTCAAGATTGAAATATCATATCGCCATCAACACTCAACACGCTTTCAAATAAACCTGTCCAGCAAGATCCTCGCGTCATCTTCAAAGCTCAATACCGACACCTGACAGCTAGCTTATTAGCGGCATTTTCTTTTCACCAAATGATTTATAATTTAATATTCTAAAAAAAATACTTTGTTTGTTATTCATAATAATTTAAAAAGTCACAAAATATCTTCAAACGAAAGCAACTTTTGGTTAAAAGAATTCAGAGCCTTGTTGACATTTTTTTGCGAAGTTTTGGTGAAAACGAGGAAAAAATAATTTTCAACGATCGTGCACGGCGTGCGTACGATTGCGACAATGAAAAGTGAAATTACAAATACCAGGCTGGGTGGCGTTGCTCGGTTGGTTGGCTGAATCCGTTCGGCGGCGGCGGCTCGTGTGTTGTGTCGTCGAGCCGCGGAGAGAAAATGAGCTAATGAGCTGCGAGTGCGGCGGCACAACTCGATCTGGTCGCGCGTGGTTATTGTTAATCACCTTTATACATTCGCGCCGGTCGCGTATTTGTAAACAAACGCGGTTGCATCATTCCTCGTCTCTTATTCGCGCGCTCACCCGCATGACCTAAAAGTGTGATAAGCCGCCCTGCTCAAATCTAGGCCGGATCCATCTCCGCGCCTGTGTGAGGTGTGTCAGTCACCAAGTTGGGTCAGGGTGAGCACCCCTCCATTTCTTCCACATCGGACCCGGAAGGTGATTGATTGAAATTCAAAAAGATTCAACTCCATAAAAATCACATCTGTATATATTTCCAGAATTGAAATGTGATATTTAATTTATTCAGAAATAAAAGGCTAGAAAAAGCAATTTTTTCAAAAGTAAATTAATAGATTATAATATTTACATTTGATCTAATAAGTTGAAGTTGTTGGAAAACATAGAAATTTCAATTTTTCATTACTCTTCTTGGTTTCCATTTAATTTTTCTTGGAAATAACACAAAAATAATAAATTTCAGGAAAAACAAGTTTTTAAATATATGCATTAAAACCACGATAGTAAAAGTTATGTGTGCGTGCCTTATATCATGTAGGTGCAAACGAGACCTGTCAATACTATTTTTAGTTAATGCAGTTTAAAACTTTTTAGCAAAGGAGATAAATTTCGGAGAGTGAAATTATGTGTCCAGCATTATTTTATTTGGTTGATATTTTGTGAGGAATAAAGGTAAAAAATGTCTACGTACATAAAGAAGCAAAAATTTCGCAAGCATTTTGGAAATTTTGAAATTAAAATAGTCATTAAAATCTTCATCTTCATCCATAAAAATACAACTTTAAAATTTTAAACACATCGCAAATTTTTTCCACCCTTCTTGATAAACAATTTAATAAAAAAAGAATTACTTGTTTGCTGACAGTAGGGTTATCACATCTAATAAAATAAAATTCAATGTAATAAATTTTTAATTTTTATTTCAATATATTCTCATTATCAATTAATCTCAAGCCAAGAACACTACAGCTCTGATTCGAATTTATAATAAAACTTTACTGGAAGCAGCATCGGCAGCGCAGAGTTTTTGACAAAGAAATTTTCCATTCATCAGCCGTCGGGTTGGGACTAGGGTCTGATCAACGAAGTCAGTCTCGGTCGGCATCACAGTCGGGGGTCACGCCAATTCGGCCATCATGCGACGAAAGTCGGCCAGCGTGTTGTAGTCGGGGTCGGCGTCTGCCTCGCCGGCCGACGGTCGCGCGAAGCTCGGGTTGTACCGACTCAACGACAGCGGACACGGCAGCAACTCTGGCATTACCGAGTGGTGCGTGATGAGGGCCATCATTGAACTGAACTCCTTCGTGAAACCCTGTAAGACAAAGAGGCGAAAGAAAGTTTGAAAAATGTAGCAACAATACGAGTTTTAGGCTCTAGATCTAATTAAATAGTTTGGAAATAAAAAAAGTTCAGAGTGGTTCAAAAGAAAATACAGTACTGGAAAGTGTTTTACTCTGGCAAAACTGGAAGCGTGAAATAAGATGAGATTTTAAATGATTTTTTTTCTTTGTAAATTTTTAAGAGATATTTCTGATTGAATATGAACCCAAAGAGCAAATAGGGAGACTAATAATAATTATTTAATTTTATAGTCATTTTAGCTTTCAAGGCAATGTACATTTGCTTATTATTATAATTATTAATTGCCGTAAGTTAAAATTTTATAATTTGCCTGTTTTGATTCGTTAAACTGTTAATAAATCAATAAAACAAATGTAAAGTAAAATAGTAAATATTTTATTGAACAAATGATGAATTAAGAAATTTTTTAATAAAATTTAATTAACAAGTAATAAACTATATTAATAACCAAATATATTAAAGTTTTTTTTTTAGATGTAAAATTCTAATTTTAACCATTTTCTTGAGCAACATTAACAACGCAATCGAATCAGACTGCGATAAAAAAAATAGCATTTACCAAATAAAATAAACTAAAATACCATAGATTCAACGGAATTCAAGCTAGTGCGTTCTGCAGCACGTGTTTACCTTAGACAAGGAAATAGAACGACACATCAAGCAATATTATTATTGTTTTGTTTTTATCATAATTTTTAAACGTTGGGAAATCTCCCCGCAAAATGTCAATTACGCGTCTCTGAAGCGAATTTGTTTCCTGCGCAATTTTACCATCGTGCCTTTCTGAATGAGAGAGTATAAAATATAATATGATATGCGAATGTGTGTTAGTCAGTCAGTCGGCGGCAGCGTGTGTGGAAAATAATAGTAATAAAAAAAGAGTAAAAAATCGTTTCAAGGTGAAACGACGCAAAATCACATACACGCCGGCGTTGACAATGTTTCACTTCTGGCGGCACCGCGGCGATAAATCGAATGAATGATGGCAGTGCTGAGAATATATCAGTTCATTGTTGTTTGTAAGTGGAAGCAGGAGAGAGATGGGCGGGTATACATGCTGATGCGCAATTAGTCAAATTGGAATTTTCCTCCAGCACGTAATAAACCACAGTGATGAGTAATAATGAGATAAAAAGTTAACACTTTTTAATGAAAATTTCTAATTTAATATGGAGGTTTTCCTAAGAAGAGTAAAAATTTAAATTCAGTAACTAATTTATCAAAAAAGTCTGGGAAGTCGCTGAGCAAAATGAAAAAATAAAAAAATCTTTATAAAAAGTTTGATGCAAACTTATTATCAATTTGGTTTGATTATTAAACTTGTTTCCAAGATGCGATTTTGCAATCTGCTATATTAAAAATAACACTTATGGGTTTTTTCAAGGAACTCTGAAATAATTTTGTGCGCATCAAAATTCTGCACGTTTCAGCAAAAGTGACGCGAAAATTACTGCGCAGCACTTTTCTTGAGAGCCCGCAGCAATTAAAACGTGAATACGCCGCGAGTAAAAATGATAAAAAGTTGTGTATTTTTGCTATTACGCTTTTCACATTATAGATTTTTGCGTCTCGAATTCACGCCACAATCATCAACTTTCGTTTTCAAGCGCATCAGTAGATAAAAAATTTAATTGCCCTATATTGGCAGAATCACAGCTGAATGAAAATTAGGTAACGGGGCCACTGCGCGTGTTTATTTTTTGTGTCTCATTTGATCTGCCACCTTTGCTATATAATAATTGTGTTGTGTCAGTGGGAAAAGTGATGATGACACATATCGTTTCCGTTTACAGATCTGCTCAAACTCGTAGAAAGTGGATTTCCAATTGTATAAATGATGATATTGCAATCGATTGGCCGAGATATAGACAGAAATTTCTTGCATTAGAAATTATTATACGAATAATTTTATTGGATGCGCACGCGTTCCAAGATTTCCTTATACATCGGATTGAGCCGGTTTTCTGTGATTTCCCTCTTGTTACTTGCAAATTAGAATGAGGTGTAACAAAATGCTATAAACTATCCATCTCGCTCTGTCAAGTTGACATAAATAATTGAGCATGATTTGCACTCTTGAGAGCCGGAATTAATTTAAATGTAAAAAATGTGTAAAATGAAATATTTTATCAATATAGCACTGAACAATGATATGAAACTTATGAAATTCCGGCAATTATAAAATTTAACATCAAGATAAAAATTATCTAGGTTTTTCTCAATTAATTTTTAATTCTATTAATTCCAGAAGTCAAGAAACTTTAGGGTTAATTGATCATGAACATAAAAAGCAAAATTAAGATATTTTTGGAAGAAAATTGTCTTCCAATTTGAATTCATATGCTTCAATTTCACATGCAATCCGTGCTTCATACATAGAAAAGAGTATAATATTTTTGTTAATTTCTCTCATTGAAATTATAATACATATAATTGTAGAATGAAAAACATAAAAATTTCTATTTTTGATAAAATGTGTAAATGCTTGGTAATCTGGTATGATTTTTATGAATAACTCTCATTAATATGTTCTAAAAAATTCTAAAACATTCACATTGAAGTGTTTTATCTATAGTTTAATCGGGGAATTTTAAATTTGAAAATTTAGTGATGAGAATATAAAAGGGTTTGATAATTCACCTTGATCCTATAACCACGGTTGGTGCGCAAGATGAGGTAGTGCGCGATTCCCGACGGCTGGAAGTCCCTCGGCACTCGTAAGGACAAGGCGTAGCAGCCGATCTTGGTCGTCGATTCGCGCACCATGAAGCTGCCGACAGGCTCCTGGGCGAGCACCTCGAGCGCGATTTCTCGCGGGATGCCTGCCTGGAACCACGGCGCGGCCAGAAGAGCCTTTTCCTCCTCTTCAGCCTTTCCTCCGAGACTGTCTGATCGCTCCGGAGGAGGTGGCGGCGACACACCCCGACTAGCCTCCTCACTGAAAACCACAATTTATATAAAAAAAATTCAGCAAACAATTTTAAAACAGTTAAGAAAGTCAAACTTTTTAATTAATTTTGTTCCTTTAGTATATATAAATAAGAACTTAAGATTCCAAAAAAACACAGGAAAGTGTATTGTTTCATCCTTCTGACTTTTTGAAGGAATCTTTTGAATATTTTTGTATAATGTGTCTAAAATTTAACACAAATTTAACATAAATACGCTTAAATATGAATTAATTTATTTTAATATTCCTAAATATTTTAAACCGTTTTATCAAAAAATTCAATTTGAACGTTTTTTGTAAAGTAACTTTACAATTTAATTTAATTACAATTACATTAGTTTAAAATATTTCAAAACATGCAGATGAATTTTAACTATTAATTTGCGTTTACATTTATGCTTTCCAGCTTGTGTATATTTAAAGTTTTTTTTTTATTTATTTGTTCATATTTAACTTCTCATACAATATTAATGCCTTGGAATTAAATTTGTTCAATTCATGAATAGCTGTTGGTATAGTAATTATGGAAACCCTTCAAGTTATTGGAGTAAATTTTCTTATTACCCTCTCTGAACTAAAAATAAATGTAGTTACCTAGAGCGAGAGTCGTCACTCTTGTGGAGTTTTTGTAAGTCTTCAACGCACTCGCCAATCAACGCATCTTTCTGAAGCCTCGTCGGCGACTGAAATAACAACACATCCAATTAGCACCTTCTTAATATTATCATCGTTTTTTCGTTAGTAGATAAAATAATATATGTTTTAATTAAAACTGACCCACGCTGGATCCTTGGCCGTGAGACCGGGAGGTGAGACGATTAGCTGTCCGAAAGGGGACGTGTGCTTCTGCAGCTGGGCCGCGTAGGCCATTCGAAAGGCATTGCCGACGATTGAACTCAGCTGCTCGGCCTGAAACACACACAAAATCTGAATGTAATTGCTTTTTAAACATTTTGGATGGGAAGCGATGCTCCCCGGCGCTGATTGCATTTTAATTGAATGTGGCTCCGGGTGAGAATGAAACTATTATTTAGGAGAGGGACGCCCCACACCCTTTTCTGCGTAAACCGTTTTGGACGAAGGATAGGAGTTCGTTAAAATGAGATAAAAATCTAGCAGAAAACTTTAAATTAATAATAAATTGATTAAAAATTAATCATATAGTTGATGTCAAATTTTATAAATTATTATAAAAGTTTGCAACATATAAAAAAACTAAAAAAAAAACTTGATCCGGTTTTATTTCCAATTGGATATCTGGATAGATATTTAATGGGCTACTTTCGTAATGCGCTACAACATTAAAATGTTAGAATGTGACTGCCGAAAGATAAGCGACTTTTAAATTATTTCCACTTTTATAACTTATTTTCATTTTATATATAATATTTGAATATTTATGTAATATTTAATATTTTGAAAGCCGACTAAATATATATGTTTTTTGTAAATACAAGGGTTCAACCACTCTATTCGTTTTCACGGCTCAGAGCACTGCTCCTAAATTTCTGTCTTCCCAAATATTTGAAGGATTTTCCTCAATCGTGACGCCAACAATCCTGACATCATGCACTGCTATTCAAAGTGAATGTGATGCAACCGACGGCCCTCGTAAATTTTTATTGCATTGTTTAAGCGCTCGTCACTTACACACACTTGAGTGTATGTTCTATTGAACTGCTACGATTCGGAGAAACAGCAAATGAGAGCGAATTAACATTCTGCGCAAGAAAAGGAATTTTGCGGAGGTTGCCAAAATTCTTCAGCAGAAGAAGAATTGTACAATTAAAAAATAAGAATGTGAAAATTGCAAGCAGCAATAAAAGTTGAAAAGAGAAGAAAATAAGAGCCCCTTGCGGATATTAAGTTATGCAACCAGTTGGGTACGTCCGCCAAGAAATTGCATACTTTGTAAATACTCCAGTTAAAAATTCTTTCAAAGCAATAAAATCAAGTTTTATTACAGAGGCATAAAAGGAATGAATATAATTATGCAGAATAAATCATGAAAATTTCGTCCTTTTTACACTCATAGAACCTTCTTTAACAATTGAAAGGAATTTTATTTTTCCTTGTCAAAAAAATTAGCAGGTATGGAAGGAAGAGAAAATTAGAGGGAGATAAAAGGGGCAGCTAAAAATTTCGGGCAGGTCGCTTCTTCTTTGCCTTTGGTGAGACGCGAGAGTGATAATTTTCGGAGGAGGTTCGTGTGCGTGATGAATCGCGGCCGATGGGAATCTCGCGCGGCTCGTTTCTCTCTCGAGATCACAGCACAGTCGGTCGGTCGGCTTTCGGTCCACGAACGTTTTGTTCGAATGGAGGCTGCGCCAGAGGGTGGGGGGTCGGGAATGCGAGGAATGCTAGGCTGGCGTGACTCGCGCCGCCTCCTCGTGATTTTCTGCTGACTCGCTCGTTTGTTTGTTGGGGAAGCACCTCAAGAAGACAGAGATAAAGAAAGAAAGAAAGGAGCGCGCGTTTTTTTATACCTTTGGTTACGGGTGCGCGCTTTGTAGCACAGGGCGTTTTACCAAGGGGATATAATATGGGTGGATGTGTGACGGCCGCATATGGAACGCGGCGGCGCTTCTTTTGCAGTAAAAAATTCGTTGTAATTCGAAACCCGCCCGAACCGAGCGAGAGAGAGGTGTCTGGTGACACTTTTTTTGTTTTAGCCCCTTTGATGGAAAAATTTATGAGTCACGCTTGCCGGGCTCACAAAAGGGCGGAAGAGACTTGATTTGACAAATTTCGGAAGGGATGTGAAGCAGGACGTGTCAAAAACACTGATTATTTTCACTGACAAAGAAAACAAAATTGATTTTTATAAAGAAAATTTTTTACGAAGGTGTCTGTAACTTAACCTAGCTAGGCAATAAAACAGTAATGTTATTGAGGAAATAGCCTCGCAATAATGCCAATAAAAAATTTAAAATAAAATATTAATTTGGTGTTTAATTATGAACTGCTACTAATAATGTAAATATTAAGTTATGTTTAAGGAATTCAGAAACCGAGGGAGAAAAACAAATGCTTTTAAAAGCGCAATTTTCTATGTGATATCTCAATTCTCTAAAGTCAGAAATTTTAGTTTATTGGGGCATTTTAATTTCTTAGAAGCTCTAAAAATGATGTTGAAATTTTTGTGTTTATCCTCATCGTTACACAGGTTTTCGGATATTGATAATATTCAATTTATAGAAACTCCAAATTTACTAACAGATTCTCTTGCAAAACTCGCATTTTTTTGCCGCATTTTAATTTGAAGTTCAACGCGTTTCTCTCCCATTCGGCCAAGAGCTGGCAAATTAAGATAAAAATCAAAAAGTGTCTGCGTAAACAACCTCCTGGGCACTTTTCGATAAAACAAAGTGTAAACCCTGTTATTTCGCAAACAAGCACGTTCTCTTTCCCAGGACAAGGAAATCCTTGTCCACTCGAAAAACTAAAGCACAAAGACGGGCTCTGAATTACTGTGCGATTTTATGCAGATATTCTCTACAAGCGGGTCAAGGGCCCCAGGCGCTTTTTTACACCACAGGCTGACGCCAACAAATAATAATTTTCTAACTTTTCACCTCCGGCGGCAGAGAGAATCCTCGGATTTATGCACATCTCATTACGAAACAATGCGTTTACTGCATTATTTAATCGAATTGTTTTTGCGCAGCTACTGCAGGATGCGAAATAATTTCGATCTAAATTGCTGATATGCCATTTTTTGGTTCATACAAAGCCAGCAACTGTGCAAATGAGACGCGCAATTCAATTTGATATTTCCTCTCACTCAAGCCGTGCTGTCATCTTTTGTGCTTGGTAATTCGCAAGCAATGTGGGAAATTGGCCGAGCGGAATGAGAAATAAATTCGCCAAGGTGCAAAAAGTATTTACAAATGGCTCTGTTCGCGGCTGATGCAATTTTTGCAGACGGACGAAATTTAATGCTGATGGAAGGAAAAACTGACAATTTATCCATGCAGAATTAAATTGTTTTTCTAGCCGTCCTATTTTTTTGTTAATCAATGATTTTACTGTACATTTTGGTAGCAAATATAAAAACAGCACTTTGTTTTTCCTTTGAAAAATAGCGATGATGTCAATAAACGGAGAACAAAAACTAATTTTCGTGTTAATCGCCATTGAGAGATGCGCACCTGACGCTGGTTTTTGCAGATGGGACTGTTATTTGGAGAGAATTCCTGCAAGCCGAGGCTTTCTCTCCTGTGCCAATTCCACTGACGGCGATTTGCACACAGGTGCACACGCGAGAATATCTGGCTAAACTTTTCAATTATGGCCGCTCACCGATCTTTTTCACATCAATCACCGTCAGTTGTTTAAATACCTTCACTCGACAAAAAGAAAGAAAGAAACGTTTCCATTTAAAAGGTACTACTTGTTCTCTTGCAAGTAAAAACTTTCCAGTGAAACAACGAAATTCAATTAAATTTTAGCTTATCTCATAAAATGAATTGGTGTATTTATCATTAATGTTTAAAATCTCTTTTATTTCTTGATTTTATTATAAATAATTTTTGCATCAAATATTCAGCTCTTGAGAACAATCAGAGACACCTCGCAACTCGCAATGTCTAATTTGAATAAAATCTATTAAAAATATCAGTAAATAATGTGAATGCATTAAATCTCTAATATCAAAATAACCTGGGCGAATTTTTTGCTGAGGACCTCATTTTAGAATCAATCAATTGGCAGAAATTCCTAAATGTTTACCCAAATAAATACCGAAATGGTGGGTATTAATCAATTCAAATTAGTGCTTGAATATCGGATTTTGGAACACAACTCGCTTAACTCTACTCTACTTAATTAAAGCTGTAAACGTGAAATGAACGCTGGTCGAGAGAATAAAAGACCGAGCGCCTACTCTATACTTATGATATATACGGAACAGCTACTCGGATGGGAAAAATTCCTCTGAGAATCGCGGCCAGTGAAATCTTTCTATCTCTCTCAGTCAAAAATATTTCATTTCGAATTTAAATAAATAAATTTTGCAGCCGTTTTTTAAGGTTAAAGTGTCTCACCTTGAGGACGGAGGCGCGACCACATTGGCAGCAGGCCTCGTCCTGCACCAGCCGCCGGTACTGCAGCGAGAAGGCGGCCTTCAGTCTGCCCATCCGCCAACCTCTTGCAGTCAACTAACTGACTGAACCTTTCTTATTCTTGGCCGCCGCTGCCTGAACGCGAGATGGAGCGGCGCCGCGCGGCAGGTGAGCCAACTCGCGGCCCCACCGACCGCCTAATATGGCCACAATAAAGAAAGAGTATGTATGGCCCTATCTGTTTCGTGCAAATTACACCTCCAATTTATTCAGCCCATTCAAACTTTAATGGGGCAAAATGTCTGCCCTTTAAAATGTGAATACCTCTATTGTAAAAAAAACTAAAATTTTTTTTAAAAAGAAAATGACGTTTTAATTTATAAAATTAAAAAATGTATGATCAAAAGATATGGTTTCATTAGGTTTATTGTAGACACACCTGATATGGCCTTTAACGTGGGCGATAAATTAATTTCGGTTTAAAAAGACTCGAATTATTGATGTTTTTTTGTGTTCCGATTTAACGTTCATTCAAGTCATAACAACACATTAAAGTAAATTAATAACCTAGATTTTAATACTAATTACTAATTATTTTGGATTTTCTACAAATTTTTATTGATTTTTGGGCCCTGTGAAGTTGAGCAAAAAAATAAAAAATAATAATGGAGGATATATTCATATTTTAAATTAGCTCCAGCAAATTCCATTAGCTAACTAAGCATGTGAAAACCTAAGCAAATACAGGCCACGATATATTCCTCGATGAATAAAAAATCCATTATGCCAATGACAATCAACATGAAAACAGATACAACTCAAAATTTTAATAAGTTAATCCTAATA